ATGGTGGACCGAATACCAAGATGTAGTCGAGGTGGTCGTTGTTGTTGATGCGTCCGTGGCGAAGATGAGCGGCGGTGATGTTGATGTCGAACCATACCTAGATAGCTGAAACACAAAAGAATACAGAACCGCAACTCAAATTCTCAAAAGCTCGAAGTGGCAACACGTGTCGGAGAGCGAAACGGTCCAAATGGTGGTGGTGTGCGGAAATGGTGATGGTGTATTGGTGGTAGGAGTGCGTATGCGGAAATGTGGGGCGGTGGTGGTGACTACACTGGAAAAAAATTCAGTTTCGTCAGAGTTCGTCAGACGTTCGGGTTGGGTCGGTCGTCCGGTCGTCAGACGTCCGGGCTGGGTCGGACATTCGGTGCATGGGCGAAATTCGGGCACGGGATGAACTTCACGTGTTCGTGATGGGGATGACGAAAATGGTCAAATCCGAAGGATATTGTGGATGGAAAGGATGGGGAAAAGCTAGATCCACTCAAAACAAAGCAAATCCACGGATCCAAACCAACAAAATCTCAACACACGAACAAATCACAAAAAAATTGGGGCTATTTTTGTGGTGAATTTTCGAATTAGGACGAAAAACAACAAAACAAGGCTAGAAACACAACGGGGAGGCTCCGAGATCGTGATCAACGTGGCTCATGATACCAAGATGATATAGGGTAGGAACCCTAGGGGCCGATCTTTCACGATAGGAGCGGATCCCGCGATGAACACGAAGAACACACGGGGAAAAACGAGGGGAACACAAAGGAAAACACGAGAGAAACACTAAACCAACACAAGCTAGTCACACATGTGCTAGATCCTCGGATACATAAGAGTTCACACGGTACACGATCAATTAGGGACGATACAAGGGTAGCCGGTCTTCCCGTGAGGAGGTCTTGATGTTCTTCTCTGCGAGGAGGTCTTGAATCCAAAGGGATCTTCTCCGAAGAGGTCGCGGTCTCTCTCGATGAGTAGATCCGATGTGGATGAGCAATGCTCTATCTCTCAAATGAGCTAAACCAATGCTAACCCTAGAAAGTTGGACGAGGTGGAGTATATACAGTCTTAGTGCAAAAGAGGGGAGCGAAGGGGTACATGGGCTGCGGCCCAACACGAAACAACGCACAGGCGTCGGACGTCCGGGAGTCACCGGTCGTCCGGAGGCTCGCGAGGGTCCGGACGTCCGGTGCCTGTCGGACGTCCGTAGATTCGGCTCGGGTGGTCTTTGGTCGGACATCCGAGGAGCGTCGGTCGTCCGTGGAGCATCGGAAGTCCGTCGTTTTGGCTCGGTGTGGAAGTGTCGGACGTCCGGTCTGGGTCGGACGTCCGGAGCCTGGAGGTCGTCGGACGTCCAGTCCTGGCCGGTCGTCCGGAGCCTGTAGCTTCTTCTTCATCACTTCTTCTCCGTCGTCACATCCATCTTCCTCTTCCTCTTCTCCTTGCTCCTTAACTTCTCCATGATACCTGAGCATGCACAAAGTGTCCGTATGAGGTAGTAGCCATGTCTCATGTGCAGGGGCGGAGCCACGTTATCTCTTCCGGTGTCACTGGCACCGGGTAAAGTATGTGCTTACCTTATACATAGTCCTGATTTTTGGGCTGGACACCGGCCAGCCCAGACAAACACAGGCGAGGTAGTGCAGCCCAGCTATAAATTAATCGATCCCTGGTCCTGTACATGCGCGTGTTGAAAAAAAACTATCGATCCCCATATGGCTGTACCCTACCTGTAGGTGCGCCTGTTCGGTTGCTCGTCCGCTCGGCTTCTGCGCTTCAACCCTCACAACGCCGCCGTTCTCAGCCCTTCTCCGTCGCGCGGCCAGCCGCCGGTCCGCCGAGCTGCCGTTGTTCAAGCATCGCTAGCCGGCCACCTCTACCCTCGCCCCACTCAGGGATTGTTGGAAATTCAAGGTAGGTCTCAACTCTCAACTCAGCACTTGGTAATTGCCGATCTCTCTCAAATCTGAAATCTCTATTCAACTGTGTGTAAGAATTTCATTTTTTTATTTCTGTTTTTCTAATTGTAAGGCTAGGGTCTTAAAATTTGAAGGTATTTGGGGACAATTCGCTGCGATTCATATATAACTAGGGGAGGATTATTTTTGTGACAGCAATGAGGCACAATGTCGAGTAAGTTTAGGTCCCTAATCGTATCATTCAATCAATACGTTTTGTTTATTATTTCTATTCTTGCATATGCAAACACAAATAATGTAACTCGTACATTTTTACTAATACAATAATAATTAATCATAGGAGAATTTATGGAAATGTTTTTAAAAAAATGAAGACCTCGGCATAAGATGATATAACTAGCCCATCACATTCAGGATATATTGACATATGTTGTCATCTGATCATATTTGTTTTCATTGTTTGGAGTTCTTATGCTTAATTGTTCAAATTTACATAATCAATTAGTATTTCAAGTGGAAGTGAACAATTTATTTTGGTAAGAAATCTTGTTGCCATATAATTTGTGTTGTTGGGTGTGTTATTTATATATACTCCCTCTGTAAAATAATACAAGATAGTGATCTAAAAAGTCTTATATTACTTTACAGAGGGTATTATTGTTTAGTGTCCATCCTTGTATATATGATGTGCACGTGGACACGGGACATTTTTGTTCTGGATCCGTACCTGCTCATGTGCATCAAAGTGAAAATGTGAAAGGAGAGATGTCACCTCAGTTTTAAAAGCTCCTGCACGTGCTCGTGTCATAGGTCCACAAGGTCTCGTAGAAGATGTAGTTGGATCCATGGGGATGATTTTGGATGCTCAGCATCACTGTGTGGACAACGAACGCGCCGCCGTGAAAGTAGACAACGACGGGAGCTTCCTTCCCGGCTCGGCTGCGGCGGCAGCGGGGAGGTAGAGACGCGCGGAGACGTTGGCCGCCGGGTCAAGGACGACGTCCTTGGAGGCGACGCCGTTGGCGGGGTCACCGGAGGGGCAGGGAGGGACGGTCTGCGGCCTCATCGATTAATTAAGAAGAGAATTGTTCGGTTAATTAACGGAAAACCCGACAAAAACCAATACATATAGATCACATACGGACTGCTCGCTAAAAAAACTCCATGACCTGACAGTTAACCAGACAAATATACATAACATGCAACAACCACAAACCCTGACACTTCTATGTCGCAAAAAAAACCCTGAACAAAACCGATGTTGAATACATCATACGCCAAGAAATCCACGTAGACGAGCCACTCGAAGATGGAGACGAAGAGACCGAGTATAGCCGCAGACGCCTTATCAATGGCGCCACTCTTCTTGCCTATGCTCCTGAGAGCCTTCTTCACCTTCTTTATTTTGCATATAAAAACCTCATCCACTAGGAGGCAAGCAATCACATTACGAGACCCAGAACAAGTTGCCTCCAAGAAAGCGAGCAAATGGTCAAGTTTTTTCACGAAGACTACCTCGTAAATACGTGCCAACATAGCGTCACGATCAAAGAAGGGCGACCGAATTCGGCGTCTCAGAAGTAGCTGCCAAAGCATCTATCTCATCAACCTCGGCACCCACGGATGCCACCTGGGCAACAACCTCAGGCGAGAGAGCAATAGCAACATCCAAACCTCCACGGTCCACATAGGCGAGTGGCTGACTGGGCTCCAACGACAATGGTGAGGGCGCAGTCGGCATCGCCAAGTCCCCTCCTAACGACCCCATCTCCTTAGGAAGCATCATCAAAAAAAGGCGAAGTGGGCTCCCCACAAAGCTTCTGCAGCTCAGGCATAATCTACAACACTGGAGCCACAACCTCGACAACGGCTTCACTCTCAAAAGCAATCGACACGACAGGCAACGACAACCGACAAGATGTAGCACGAGGGGAGAGATCTCCATACATATCTGCTTCCCCATCGGCAGAACCAACCAGGATCTCAGGGGACGGGGACAAATCAAGGGCAACCCCAATTTGAAGCTCAGGTAGCAAAGACACATCCAGCACCATCTCAAGTTTGACGAGAGCGGCCTCCGCTCTCACCAAAACACTCCGGACTCACGCAACGCAGTCAAACTCAGTGCGAAGCAGCTCGGTCTCCTCCGCCAACCCAACTTGCTGAGCCGAGACAAAACTGGACTGCACGTCGATAGTTATTTAATTTATCTACACATAAATCTTCTTCGCAGTGGTTGTTCTACCATGGACTTTTGGGATCAGTAACACATTGCCGTATTGCACTGAACAGGACAGCCCGGGCCGAGACGGCGAGAGAAGCACACCGTAACTCCGTAAGCCTCGCTCGCCTCGCTTTCTAACTACTCAACAAGCTTCCAGGGCAGCCGCGACCCAGCAATCCTCTCTCGATTTTCTTATACTCTGCAAATCAGGTCAATTTGGATAAGAAAACATGTGTAAAATGTCACATAAAACATGAATCAAAGACCTAAAAACCCAAGTCTGACTTATAATCCCGACCAGAGGTAGTAGCCATACTGTTGAATTCACTCCCTCTATTATCTGTTACTTCGTGCTAAACCAGCGACAATTAATATGGATCGAAAGGAGTACCTAAGTTCCTTCCCAAAGAAAACAACCATTTTCTCAATCCATATCACACTCCAATAGCCTGACAGTGAAGATATGGAAGAACCACACAACACCCGCAGCATAACAGCTGGCACAACATCAAAACAGGCACTTGAATAAGAGGATAAAATCACTACAACACAAATAGAAATGATGTATACACTAAATACATAAGATCGGGCATCTTTTTACTGCACACACTATCCCATACATCCATATCACCTCTTGGCGCCCTTCTCACCAAACAGAATCGCCCAACATCGGATGCAGAAGCATCCCTGATTCCCTCTCAAGAGCTGCTGGCAACTCGCATGCAACTCAACCAGCAAAACAATTCCAACGAGTTTCACCATATGTGCCCGCAGTTCGACATAAGCCATCAAAGGCTGCGCTTAAGCACTGAAGCTTCAGGCAGTGGTTAAAGCATTACATGTTGTGCATGTGAAGCCTAATGTTCCATTAAAGCCGCATCAGTTTCTGATAATGGTGCGAGCAAGTCCTCGTACGCGTACGTGTCGTGGAACAAGGAAGGCTCCAACATAAGTGGCGGGGAGAACATTTGATCCAGAGCATCATCCGTCATAAACGATTGACCACTGACTGGATCAAAGAAGTTTGCAGCACTGCTTGGATCATCATAGCCATTCGGTTTACCTGACAGAGCTGGGGCTGCAGGCATTGGGCTGTCAGGATTGAAGTAAGGATCACCTGTGCTCTTGAGCAACTTCGACTGTGACGACGGTAGACCTGTCCTTTGTTTTCTTCGATTTGCCACAGCACCCACGTCCTTCCTTGAAGCAACTGTTGATAGGGGAATGAAAAAGTGCTCTGAACCATCGTCACTGCTCTTGTCCTGTGCACTCTCCCTGCTGCTCAATGGCTTTGACAGAGCGGCTTCACGAACAGAACGCCTGATGTCATGGGCAAAATAACCATCATTTTCATGCACTGAACCATTTGCTTGATCTTTGGTTGAGAGGTCAATAAGTGATTTCTCTTCCAGCATAATTTCTTTGCTAGGTTGGCGTGCTAGGGCATTCCGTCTTTGTGTCTGTATTCCTTTTCCAGAAGAACTCGGAGTCAGGCTAAATAAAGGAGGAAGCTTCAGAGCAGGACTACTCCCAGCCTTGTCAATGCGCATTGAAGAGAGCTTAGAAGTCATCTCTGAAACTTCGCAGCTGCTTTCTTCTGATCTTCCAAGCACTGTATTTTGCAAAGACAACTGTCTGGAGTTTGTTTGATCCATTGGGTTACTAGGTACACTATTCACTTCTTCTGAAAGTTCTGCTATTGACTGCTGCATTGCTGGAATAGCTTCTTTGAGTTGATTAATTAGGCCCTGTATACTGACTAAATGCTGGCGATGTTCAGCCAGTGTTGCAGTTAATGAGTCAGCATGGCTACTAGTTTCGCCGTCAGACGCACTGCGGAGTAATTCTGGCCCCTCCCCATCATTTGCTTTGGCCAAATGAAGAGATTGTTTATGAATACGCTGCAAAGCATGAGTCCACCGTCGAAGAATTTCAGCTACATCAACAGTTTGTTGGGCACGCCCATTCCTATCATCTAATCTTGAAAGGGCTTCTTCCTTTCCCTGGAACAGAGATATCTGCTCCTGCTTGTCCAAACTTGAACCCATATCCATTGCTGCTAGCAACTGCGATCCAGATATGCGATACCTATGCTCACGATGTGCTATAAGATCTTCAATTGGCCCGGAAGCTAAAACCTCATGCTGGTCTTTGCGAGCCAATATCGATTCCCACAAACGTGTTGCCTTAGATACCAAATGTGAATTCTGTCCAGACGAGCTTGATATACGTTCGTCCCACGGTTCCCCCTCTATCTTGGCTTTGTTTCTCATAACTTGTAGCTTCTCTAACTCCTGCTGCAGACATGCCTCTTCAGCACACAGACTTCGGAATTCAGCAGTCATTTCATGGGCTAAATTCGACCAGGTTGTTTGCCTCTGAACAGCAATATTTGCATTTTCTAGAAATTTTCTCCTCTCGAGAGCAATCCTTGCCTTGGTTACAGGAAGCAATGCAGCCGCATGAAGATAAGAGACATCTGTGAGCGCCGCCGGCAGTGGATTTGATGCCGCATCAGCCGGAAACGTCCTCCTGTGGACCTCCCTCAAGGCATGGACAGAGAGCTGCCACAAAAGCTCAACGAACCTCGGCCCGCAGCAGGTGGCGAGGGACGAAACCCTGGAGTTGCTCCGCGGCAGCGCCCCCTGCTGCTCCAGCTCGCTGATGACGCCTTGCACGATCTTGCGGAACTCCCTGGACTGCGCGGAATCGAAGATGGGCCACACCTTGTCGAAGTCCTTGGCGGACTGCGCGGGGCCGCGGAGCGAGGACAGGAGGAAGTAGAGGAGCTGCTCGCCGAGGCGAGGGTTGGAGTGGCGGAAGAGGCCGACGCGTGCGGGGGCGGCGCCGGCGGGGGAGCCGAGGACGGCGGGATCGAGGCCGAGGAGGAGGCAGTTGGTGTACATGGCGCCCTCCAGCTCCGCCTCCCGCTCCTTCTCCCGATCCGTCGACATGGCCGCCGGCTTCTGCTGGATGGCTGGGTTGGGGCTAGGTTTAGGTGGAGCGGGGGGAGGCCGGCGGCATTGGAGTCGGGAGATCTCGCGAGGCGGAGGCGGAGGTGGAGGTGGGAGACGAACAAACAAACAAAGAAAAGCAGGCCAGCCGGGCCGAGTCGAAATGGAAACAATTTTATTCAGGGCCGGTTCGGGCTCCTACGAAGAGGCCAATCTTGTCCCTGTTCAGACCGGCGGACCAGCGCAAGGTAGTAGAGTGGACGCTACTCATGTTGTGTTGTGGATCCATTCCATTCCGCTGTGCGTCCAGATTTTTGTTTAAGAATAGCTAAGCCCAACTCCAACGCTGATACCCATTTCATTCGGTTGTATCCGTTTGAATCATTGCGGACAGAAAATATGGCGCGGCCCAATGCACCGATGCAAACGAACGGCGTCCGTTTTTTTTTGTCCGCCGCGACCCATTTTCAGTCCAAATTTAAGCCGGTTATGCGTCGGCACGACAAAGGCATGGATGCGCGCGACGCCCTTGTCCTCTCCTTGGTCCGTCAGTCAGTGGCAGAGTGGCATTTCTTTCCCTCCTTCCTTTTCACACTCTTCCACTCCTCGTCGTCATCGCTCATTCTCGGCCGCGACGACACCGCCCAGGCACGGCCGCCGCATCCAACAACTTCCTCGCCGTACCCACTAACTTCCCCATCGTATCCACCAAGGCATGGCCACCACCGCATCCACCGAGGCCGACGTCTGTGGCCGTTCAGTGCCGCCATCGTAGTAGGAGAAGGGACGCCTGTCAAGGGACGCTGGCACAACCCTCGCCTCTTCGATCACCACCGGAGGGAGTGGACATTAACATGCCTACAACCCTTCACATATCGCGCCTACACCACGCCCGACGCCGTTGCCGCCAACAATGTGTTCGGCCTTTTGCCCCCAAGGTACCATGGTCGACATCGATGATGAATTTTTCCATCAATGACATTTGTTCATCGGATGATTCATGTGACCCACCAACTTCCCCACCGCATCCACCGCATCCACCGAGGCCGCGCGTCTGTGGTCGTTCAGTGTTGTCGTCATAGTAGGAGAAGGGACGTCGACCAAGGGACGCCGGCACAGCCCTCGCCTCTTCAATCACCACCGGAGAGAGTGGACATTGACATGCCTACTGCCCTTCACATGTCGCGCCTGCATCACGCCCGGCACCGTTGCCGCCCGCAATGTGTTCGGCCTTTTGCCCCAAGGTACCATGGTCGACATCGATGATGATTTTTCCCAACAATGTCATTTGTTCATCGGATGATTCATCATCCGATGAAGAGGACTTTGTGGTTGCTACTATGGTGTCAATGAGCACTAGGATGCGAACAATGTTTAGGGGGTCGATTCGAGACCATACTTCGGCCTTGAATCGTAATAGGGAGAACGATCATTGCCTACTCTATAACGATTATTTCCAATGCACATCCCCACTTTTCAATGCCAAGCTTTTTCGGCGACGCTTCCGGATGGCTAGACATGTGTTCAACCGTATTCAGGAGGGAGTGGTGGAGTATGATGTTAATTTAGATGCAAGAGTGGTGCCCTAGCAAGGGTTGGCTTCTCCTGTTATCAGAAATGCACTATAGCTATCCGGATGCTTGCATACGAAATTCCCGGTGATTTTGTGGATGAGTATGCCGGATGAGTGAGTTCACATGCCTTGAATCACTATATAGGTTCTACAAAGCTGTGGCAGCAGTGTTTGGCCCGGAGTACTTGAGAGAACCAAATGCTACAGATACAGCCCGGTTGTTGGCGATCAATGTATCCAGAGGCTTTCCAGGAATGCTTGATAGCATAGATTGTATGCACTTGAAGTGGAAGAATTGCCCATTTGCTTGGCAGTGGCCGTATAAGGGGCATGTTAAAGCTTTCACGGTCATACTTGAAGCCGTTGCATCACAAGACCTCTGGATTTGGCGCTCTTTCTTTGGCTTGGCAGGTTCTCACAATGACCCCAACGTACTTCATTCATCGGTCTTTGGTGTTTGCACGGCTTGTAGAAGGCAGCAACCGATAGGTCAACTTTGAGGTTAATGGCCACCACTACAATAAGGGATACTAGCTAGTTGATGGTATCTATCCTCACTGGTCAAGCCGGTAGGAGAGAAGCAAGCTAGGTTTGCCCAAGCCCAAGAGAGTGTTAGGAAGGATGTGTAGCGTGCTTTCGTGTGCTCCAAGCTAGCTAATCGTCGTCGAAGAATTAGAGGGAGGAGATTAGAACTGGAGGAAATATGCCCTAGAGGCAATAATAAAGTTGTTATTTATATTTCCTTATATCATGATAAATGTTTATTATTCATGCTAGAATTGTATTAATCGGAAACTTGATACATGTATGAATACATAGACAAAATAAAGTGTCCCTAGTATGCCTCTACTAGACTAGCTCATTAATCAAAGATGGTTAAGTTTCCTGACCATAGACATGTGTTGTCATTTGATGAACGGGTTCACATCATTAGGAGAATGATGTGATGGACAAGACCCATCCATTAGCTTAGCATAATGATCGTTAAGTTTTATTGCTATTGCTTTTTCATGACTTATACATATTCCTCTAACTATGAGATTATGCAACTCCCGAATACCGGAGTAACACCTTGTGTGCTATCAAACATCACAAATGTAACTGGGTGATTATAAAGATGCTCTACAGGTGTCTCTGAAGGTGTTTGTTGGGTTGGCATAGATCAAGATTAGGATTTGTCACTCCGTGTATCGGAGAGGTATCTCTAGGCCCTCTCGGTAATGCACATCATGATAAGCCTTGCAAGAAATGCGACTAATGAGTTAGTTGCGGGATGATGCATTACGGAACAAGTAAAGAGACTTGCCGGTAACGAGATTGAACTAGGTATGAGGATACCGACGATCGAATCTCGGGCAAGTAACATACGGATGACAAAGGGAATTGCGTATGTTGTCATTGCGGTTTGACCGATAAAGATCTTCGTAGAATATGTAGGAAAAAATATGAGCATCCAGGTTCCGCTATTGGTTATTGACCGGAGATGTGTCTCGGTCATGTCTACATGGTTCTCGAACCCGTAGGGTCCGCACGCTTAACGTTCGATGACCATTTGTATTATGAGTTATGTGTTTTGGTGGCCAAAGATTGTTCAGAGTCCCAGATGAGATCATGGACATGACAAGGATTCTTGAAATGGTCGAGGTAAAGATTGATATATTGGACGATAGTATTTGGACACCGGAATGGTTTTGGGACATTTCAGATATTTATCGGAGTACCGAGGGGTTACCGGAACCCCCCGGGGAAGCCCCCCGGGGAAGTAATGGGCCAACATGGGCCATAGGGGAGAGAGGGGAGCCCACAATGGGTTGCACGCACCCCCGATGGGCTGTCCGAATTGGACAAGGGGAAGGGGGCGCCCCCCTTTCCTTTCCCCTTGTCCCTCTCCTTCGGTCTTTCCCCCTCCATGAGAAGGAAAAGGGGGGGGGGTCCTACTAGGACTGGAGTAGGTTACCCCTTCGCGCACCCCCTGCTACCGGCCTCCTCCTCTCCCTCCTTTATATACGTGGGCAGGGCACCCCTTGAAGACACGCCAATTGTTCCAAGCCGTGTGCGGCGTCTCTCTCCACGGTTTACTCCTCCGGTCATATTCACGTAGTGGTTAGGTGAAGCCCTACGTGGATCACATCACCATCACCGTCACCACGCCGTCGTGCTGGCGAAACTCTCCCTCGACCCTCTACTGGATCAAGAGTTTGAGGGACGTCATCGAGCTGAACGTGTGTTGAACTCGGAGGTGCCATACGTTCGGTACTTGATCGGTTGGATCGCGAAGACGTTCGACTACATGAATCGCGTTAACCTAACGCTCCCGCTTTCGGTCTACGAGGGTACGTGGACACACTCTCCCCGCTCGTTGCTATGAATCTCCTAGATAGATCTTGCGTGATCGTAGGAATTTTTTTGAAATTGCATGCTATGTTCCCAAACAGTGGCATCCAAGTCAGGTCTATGCGTAGATGATATGCACGAGCAGAACACAAAGAGTTGTGGGCGATCATAGTCATACTGCTTACCACCAATGTCTTACTTTGATTCGGCGGCATAGTTGGATGAAGCGGCCCAGACCAACCTTACATGACCACGTTCATGAGACCGGCTCCACCGACAGACATGCAACTTGTTTTGCATAAAGGTGGCTGGCGGTTGTCCGTTTCTCCAATTTTAGTTTAATCGAGTTTGACTACGGTCAGTCCTTGTTGAAGGCTAAAACAATGCACTTGATGAAAAATCATTGTGGTTTTGATGCGTAGGTAAGAACGGTTCTTGCTAGAAGCCCGTAGCAGCCACGTAAAACTTGCAACAACAAAGTAGAGGACGTCTAACTTGTTTTTGCAGGGTATGTTGTGATGTGATATGGCCAAGACATGATGTGATATACGTTGTTGTATGAGATGATCATGTTTTTTAAAAGTTATCGGCAACTGGCAGGAGCCATATGGTTGTCACTTTATTGTATGAAATGCAATCGCCATGTAATTGCTTTACTTTATCACTACGCGTTAGCGATAGTTGTAGAAGCAATAGTTGGTGAGACGAAAACGACGCTACGATGGAGATCAAGGTGTCAAGCCGGTGATGATGGAGATCATGACGATGCTTTGGAGATGGAGATCAAAGGCACAAGATGATGATGGCCATATCATGTCACATATTTTGGTTGCATGTGATGTTTATCTTTTATGCATCTTATTTTGCTTAGTACGGCGGTAGCATTATAAGATGACCCCTCACTAAATTTCAAGGTATAAGTGTTCTCCCTGAGTATGCACCGTTGCGACAGTTCGTCGTGCCGAGACACCATGTGATGATCTGGTGTGATAAGCCCTACGTTCACATAAAACGGGTGTAAGACAATTTTACACATGCAGAATACTCGGGTTAAACTTGACGAGCCTAGCATGTACAGATATGGCCTCAGAAC